AAAAAAAAAAAAAGAAAATAATTTTATGGTTGGGGGTCACCACAACATGAAGAACTGTATTAAAGGGTTGCGGCATTAGGAACGTTGAGAACCACTGCTGTAGATGCAGGAGAGACTCTGGTTCCAGCACGTTCCCACCACACCACCCTGCCTGCAGTGTGCACTGACAACAAAGACAAGTGAGGTGGGGCATGAGGCAGGCTTAAAGGCATGCTCAGCAGGGAATCTGGAAAGCTCTGACCTTTTCCTGTAGTCAAGGCTGGGGAGTCCAGTAGTTTAATCATCTTGCTTGAAAATTAAACCCCACGATCTCAAAGAATGTTCTGATGCTAGAATCCAATACACCCAACTCCAAAACATGCAGTGTGTGAATCCCACATTTATCACATGTTGAGCACTGGTCAGGCCCAGGCAGCAGTGGTCTGGGTTATGTCTCTAACCTGCAGGCCGAGGACCTAAAAAATTAATCTTCCAGCACAAATCACCAGTTAAGAACTAAACAAGATGCATTAAGTGGCAGCTCGATTCTCAGTCATCAGGAGTTGGCTCAATCAGAATAAACAGGCAGTGCATATGAACTTCAGAATTTATTTAAATGGAGAAGCTGTCTTAACAGGAGGGAAAAGAAAATTTAGAAAATAACATTTATGAGAAAATAGCCAAAAGGCACGTAGTGCACATTTTGTCCTTCCCTCTTACAGGTGAGGGACTAGAGGCAGCCTGGACACACTTGCAATTCCTGAATTCTAAACTTCATTGTACAAAATGCCACTTGAAATATGTATTAAAACCCTCAGCCCAAGACAGTTTTTTAAATCTGAAAGCTCACAGGAGAGGTGGGGCTGAGACAGCATGGAATGTGCAGCCTTGGTCCCCAGGAGTCCTGGTGGGAGGACAGAGTCACCCAGGAGGCAGCACCTCTTCACACAGGCCACCCTGGGAAGGTCAAAAGAGTGAAGAGGGAAACAGAGGGACGCTGAGTAAAGGTGAAAAGGCACAAGTCCCAGCCCAAGCTGATCATTTCCATGACGGCTCATTTAGTGTGTTCTACTTATGTTATCAAGTTCAATCCACTGAACTTAACTTACAATTTTTAAAAATGGTAATGGAAACAGTTATTATAGAATTGCTATTTTTATGTTTAGCAATTAAAATAATCACTAGCTTTTATAAAAATTCCTTCTCACAAATCATTAAAATCTATAAAACAGCAGGAATTTCACAAGGACCGTGTGTAAGTTATACATTGGACTCCTAGACAGGAGCGACTCCCATTGTGGGCGGCCAATAACACTGTTCTAGGTCATGAAATTAGTATCTCATGATAAATACTTTACTCTGGGTGAAGTCTGCACAGTTAAAGGCACAATTGCATGTTCAGATGAAGCAGGAGTGACCTCGGGTTTGCACAGAACTTCGAGCTGAGGATCGCAATGCTCCTCAGGAGTCTTCCTCCTTGTCTTTAATTTCAGAAATTCTGTCTATAGATTTAAGGATCTCAGCAACAAGATTCAACGTTTCGGCTCCAGAAACCAGCTGCCTAAAATGAAAATACAGACATTGGGAACTGCTACTGCTTCTGTTTAATAGCAACAGAAGCATGGAAGGAAAGGAAATCCAGAGTGAAAGTAAGTTTTAAAATCTCAGATCCAGGCTTGGTGCCTGTAGCTCAGTGGCTAGGGCACCAGCCACATACACTGGAGCTGGCGGGTTTGGTTCAAATCCAGCCCGGGCCTGCCAAACAAAGACAACTACAACAAAAAAAATAACAGGGCTTTGTGGCAGGCATCTGTTGTCCCAGCTACTTGGGAGGCTGGGGCAAGAGAACTGTTTAAGCCCAAAAGTTAGAGGTTATTGTAAGCTGTGATCCCACGGCACTCTACCCAGGGTGACAGCTTGAGGTTCTGTCTCCAAAAAAATAAAAATAAAAAAATCTCAGGTCCACTCAGAGGAGACTCTCACACAAGTGCTCACGTGTGCTCAGCAAAGCTGCCTTGCAGAGCTCAGCCCAGTAGGAGGCAGAAAATCACTGCTGTACCCAATGACAGGAATGTCCCTGGGGTGCTCACTGTGCTAGGCACTGCACTAAGGGCCTTTGGGTGAGTTTACTTGCTTTTTACAACAAGAGGAAAACTATTTCCTTTATTCAGAATTTTAATGCCCTGTAGGTGAAGGAACTGGGATTTAAATCTGTGTGATGCTGATGTCCACACCTCCCAGGCGGGAAAAGTTACTCTGAGGTAGTAGGTTAGAAAGCGTGCCTTTCTGCCCATATCATGACCTGGAGGGTTAACAGGACCATTCAACACATGTCCCCCAGGGTCTGCCCACCATGGTTCCGTCACAGTTTGAGCCCATCCAACACAGCTAATAGCCTCCCGATCTCACCCCTCACTTGGCTGGAGGTTTCCCAGCCCCACCAGGTACTCACTTTATGGAAGCCTGTGCGCTGTTCATGACGACATGGAGGTTCTGCAAGGCCACATCAGTGTTCTGCTTTACAACAGTCAAGCTGGCGCCCTGGCCTGACCTCAGAGCTTCGTTCTCACGTTTAAAGTTGGAGATCTGAGCCTATAGGGGTATGGGTTGGGGGGGCGGGCGGAATGTATTCATCGTTGAGCAGAGCACATCCATAGGATAATCCAAGTAAAACTAAATGTACCATCCCAGAGAGGCATGGGCTTGCTCATGGGGCCTGGCCTACTCATGAGAGGTGATCTCACTTACTGAGGGGGCCTTTTAGGAAGAAAGGCCTAACACATTCCCCTTAACTCCACCATGTACTCAGCACCTGGCTCTACCCAACCTACACACCAAACACCCAAGGGAACCCTATGCTCTCCCTTTTTTTTTTTTTGAGACAGAGCCTCAAGCTGTCCCCCTGGGTAGAGTGCCGTGGCATTACAGCTCACAGCAACTTCCAACTCCTGGGCTCAAGCAAGTCTCCTGCCCCTGCCTCCCAAGTAGCTGGGACCACAGGCACCCGCCACAACACCCGGCTATTTTTTGGTTGCAGCCGTCATTGTTGTTTGGCGGGTCCGGGCTGGGGATTTGAACCCGCCACCTTAGGTGTACGTGGCTGGCGCCTTAGCCAGTTAAGCTATAGGAGCCGAGCCCCTATGCTCTCCCTTTACTTAGGGCCCTGGAGAGAAACCTGGGGCTGTCCCGATTTTATGTTTTTCATCTGCTCAGGGAACAGCGTGAAGCCAGCACAGTCTCTCACACCTTTTTCCTTAATTTCACGTGTTTGTGACTCCCCGAGTCAAAGGAAAACACTTAAGACTTTTCGCTAATTACCTGAAGCAAATTAATTTCCTGTTTCAGTTTCATGACGTGATTTTCTGCCTTTACAGCCCGTTTCTGTTACCCCAAAACAAAACACAGAAAGCATCAGTGATGTCCTCAAGGCTGTATGGGACACATGCGGAGCAGGAGACCACCCTCTGTGGCCCCACCCTTCCTGGCCCTGCCTTGCCCAGCTCCACCTCCACTGTCAGACAGAATGGGGGCCCATCCCATAGAACCTGTGCCCGAGCCCCCTCACTGATGGCCCCAGAAGAGCAAGACCACAGTGCCAAGGGTCTGCCGAGAACAGCACAGCTCACACCTCTGGTGGTACCTGCTGGCTCCCAACACCAGCCACAGCTCTTTTTCCAAAGGAGCTTCCTGCTCTATCCAGCCCCTAACTCAGAGAAACATGGCTGCATACTGTCATGAGCTCCAGGTTCTGCTCCACCTGCTGAACCACCGACTCCAGGTCATGGTAGTCACTCTCCTCCTTGATCATTTTTGCTTCTAATTTCCGCTCAAGAGTCCTCACCCTTGTTAAAGAAAAACCTGAGTTGTTAATAATTCATGTGACTACTTTTAAGAAGGATACTTTAAAAAATATTTTAATTTGATTAGCTAGATAAAAATCATTAAGAGCTCCAAGAAAGAATGAGCCTCAGGATGGACAGAGCAGGTGGCAGTGACATCAGGGGGGACCCTGCAGGCTGGGAGAGGAAGGGAGCTGGCCCATAGCTCTGTAGCTCCAAAAGGAGTTGGGTTGATTTGAGTCTACCTTTTTTTTTTTGAGACAGAGTCTTACTTTGTCACCCTCAGTACAGTGCTGTGGCATCACGGTTCACAGCAACCTCAAACTTACAGGGTCAAGTGAACCTCCTGCCTCAGCCTCCCAAGTAGCTGGGACTACAAAGCACCTGCCACAACACCCAGCTATTTTTTAGAGATGGGGTCCTGGTCTTGAACTCCTGAGCTCAAGAGATCCACCCACTTCAGCCTCCCAGAGTGTTAGGATTACAGGCTGAGCCACCGCCCCTGCCCTTGGTCTAATGTTAAGTAAACTTTTACACCAAACACAAGAACTATGTTTGATGCTGAAGATCTAACAATAAAACCCAGACTCAGTTCAACTCTGATTAGTTCATTAATATTTAAAGATTGACTTCCTTGAGCGTTAGGAGAGTTCTGCATTCCTAACTAAAAGTTTACATACATTTCTGTTTGAGTTTCAGAGAAGCTCTGAACCTCATTCAGCTTTCTTCTTAGCTTAGAATTTTCATCTTTCAGCTGTAGAAAAAGAAAATCCTTATTAGAAACTCAGTATGTCTCACATAGAGGGCACATATTCTGTAATTTGACTGTAGAACTTCTTGATACACAAAAATATCCAGGTCAGTAGAGAGTCAACCTGCAGTGCATGAAGAAAGGTGCCCACTTTTTAAAGACTGGTGGTCACAGACTCCAATTTTACTCGTAACTTGTAGCTTTTTTTAGGTGACTATAATTTCTTTAAAAATTTCCAGCACAGTACTTTTTAGTGGGTTATATTCACATACATAATCAAAGGGAAAGGAACATCATAAAGCAGGCTGCTACACCAAAAACTATCTTGTCCTTGGCACCAAATCCTGGCAAGCAGGACGGCTCCAGGCTCCCTCTAGGATAGCCCTGCTTAGACTGGTGCTTTGTGCCAGGCAACAACTCGAGCCCCTCACTTACTGCCTCATAACTTATCTGCAGCGTCCGTAGGTGCCGGTCTCCCAGAGACTCTCCGTGAGCTGCAAAGTCTGTGCCAGGACTCCCTGCTGGAGATCCCGGAGACACATGAGAGTCTGTGTCACTCAATGTCCACGAGGGCAGAGACTTGGGCCCCGTCAGCTCCGATGGAGTGGAAAAAAATGACAGGTACGTGCCACAGGGTGATGTGCTGGCAGTGACCCTTGCAGAGTGCGTCTGCTCCATGGCGGATGGCAGATAGGATCCAGTCCACCCGTCATCCTCATCTTCCTCCTCGTCTAGGAGGTCACCAGCTCCTGTTGGGTCTTCGAAAAATGGCTGCTGATATTCTAGGCCATAGCCCACAGGCTGGTTGGTTGGAGAGTTGTGGTCGAGTCTCACTGAGTGCCTCGAGGCTTCCTAAAGAAAACATTGGAGCAAAGCTGCCAACTCAGCTGGCTGGTAGTTTGTGCCTGTAATCCTAGGCAATTCAGGAAGCTGAGGTGGGAGGATCATTTGAGGAGTTTGAGACCAACTTGAGCAACATAGCAAGACCCCATCTCTATGAAATATAGAAAAATTAGCTGGGTGTGATAGTGGGTGCCTATAGTCCCAGCTACTCGGGAGACTGAAAGAGAAGGATCACTTGAGTTCAGGCGTTGGAGGCTGCACCAAGCTATGACTGATGACATCAATGCACTCTACCCCAGGCAACACAGCAAGATCCTATCTCAAAAAAAAAAAAAAAAAAAAACCCAAAAAACAAAAAAAAAGCCAACGCAGAAGTTATCTCCTGCCTTTTTTTTTTTGCCTGTGTTCAGCCTTTGAATACAGAGAAAGACCCTGTCTGATCAGTAGATCAGGAAGCATCCAAACAGCTTCTTAACCCCACAAAACTTCCCCACCAGTGTTAACAGCTGCCTTGCTTTGCCACATAGTCTTGAATCATCTCCACTAAAGCAACACTGCAAATCGGAAGAGATGGTCTTTGAAGGCCTTTTCTGTCTAGAGTCACTGGGAACAACTTCTTTGATTTACCTTGGAATAAATTCTGTTGGTTGCTTCTTCTTTGGACAAGCTGAGGTTCTTGGTTTTCAGAAATTCTTTAAAAGAGAATGGATTTGCCTCTTCAAGATCTTCAAGTTTGTCATCTGAAATGATAGACATTACAAATACATAAAGTCTACTGAGCATCGTTAAAAGGAATCCTCCTACTCATCTCTTTCCAGAGCATGACTGTATCTGAAATCCAGAATGCCACTCTCACCCCACCTGCTCTTTGGGGCTGTACAGGAAGCCACTTATCCAGTCACACTGCCAGCCCCACACAGACAAAAACCTGGCACTGTGTGTTACACTGAGAGAAAAATAAAGGATTACCGAACTACTCTACCTCCAAAACGTGTCTCGTGGGCTCCGGATGGACCTTGCTTAGTACATTTCCCCTTTCCATAGCCAAAATCTGCAACGAAACATTGTGGCCCCACAGTGATCAGAAGGACCTTTAGGACTGACTACATTGTTTTTCTTTTATGGACATGGTGTTTCTACTACTACGGATGTGGTATTTCTACTGCACTGCTTTCTCTGGTTGGGCACCTTAAAGAAGTACAAGCCCCAAGACTCCTTACTGTAGACAAGGTCTGCTTCCACTGACCAGCCCTGGAGTCTGTAGTTTATAGATGCCCCTAGGAGGTTCTGATGCCTAGCTAGGGCTACACATGTCCTTCTGTCTTGTGATATCCCCTGAATGTCCTCACCACTGTGCTGTCCTCACTCACTGTCCTGACCTAATCACTTACACACTCTGCAGTACGCAGCAGCACAAGTGCTTGAGAAGAATGAGGAAGGACCATCCCTGCCGAAACACGCCTGATCGCTGCTGGGCTTTGGGGCTGGATGGCTCCAGCTTGGTTTCTAACCACCACTTACAGAAGGTTCTCTTGTCCTCACTTCCACCCACCACGACCTAGAGGAATGAGGTCGTCTCCTGTCCTCTGACTGAGCACTGAGGATGCTGTGCTAGAACGGTGTGTGTGGGGGTCTCCCCACAACCAGGCTGTGAGCTCCTAGGGGGGATATCACCTTTGCGCTCCCAGTGCCTGGCACAGCCAGCGCTCAGGGCTCACTGTTAGGTCAGCGGCGGAGCTAACCCTACATCAGAGGGACGCCTACAAGTCGTAGAGGGACGGGGCTTCCCTGATGCCGGCGCCCTCGTCTCTCACCTGAATCTCCCACGGAAGCTAGCACCGGACTGGGCACATAGCACATAAAGGTCGGCCGAATGCCGAAGAAGTGGGAGTCCTGGTCCCCGTCAGGGGGACGCTCACAGTCTAGCTGGGGGAGACAAGACCGGCGCTCATAGAACGCGGGAGCTGTAAGCAACAATGAGAGCGACTTTACCGCGCGCCGCGACGCCCAGGCGCTGCGGCAGGCCTCCTACCCGGGCCACGCGACCCCCGGCGCCCCACGCCAGCAGGGAGGCCCAGGCCCCGCTGGGGCCGCGCTGCGCTCGGGAGCCTGACCGCCTGCCCTCCTTTCGGCCTTCCCAGCCCGGCCCCGCTCACCATCGGGAATGACGAGGCTCCGGGCTCGGGACAGCGGGGTGGCTCCCGGGCGGCGCGGGTAGCCCGACATCGCCGCGGGACCGGCGGGCTGGACCTGTTTAGCCCGGTAGCGGCGGCTCCATGGCCCCGGCTCCGCTCGGGCCGCGGCCCCCGTCGCCCGCCGCTCGGACGCCGAGGCTGCTCCGAGCCTCCCGCCGAGGCTTCCGGTCCGCTACCGGAAGCGCGCGCCGGAACGCTGCGAGCCGACGCCGGGGGGCGGGGCGGGGCGCCGGCGGAAACGGAAGTGATGACAGAAGCAGTGGGCGGAGACATAAGATGGCGGCTGTGGTGCTAGTGGCGACACGGTTGCTGCGGGTTTCGGGGTCCTGGGGCCCCTCGCGGCTGAGGTGAGCCGAAGGCGAGCCAGGCCTGGTCTGGAACCGGAGCTGCTGGAATCTTTCTGGAAGCTCCGTCTTTGGTTTTTGCAAGCTGCACGGCGCCCGTCGGACAAGCTTGCTCTTAGGGACACCAGCCTCGTCGCCGAGGCGACGGGGGCCCTTCCCTGCCTTGAGCCTCAAGCCCGGGTCCTCGGCCTTTTCCGTCTCTCCTGTCCCCGGCTGCCGGCTTCCTGTTCCGCCCTCAGCTCTGGGGCCGACGGGTCTTTGTCCCAGGCTGTGTGTGGTTTCTGTCTCTGCCCTTTTCCTGCCGCGTGTTCCCTCCGAAGGCTGAGCCTGCAGAGGCTCGGCTCTCTTAGACCACAGAACTAGGGCTTTTGTCTGACACCAGAGTCCAGGGCTCTCGACCGCTGCGCTGTGTACCGTCTACTGTTGATTTCTGACGTTAAAGACTTTTTCCGTCCCCACTGCTACTGAACCACCTTGGCTGAGCCTGGGTCACTCCACTCCTCCGTGTTGTCTGTGGAGGTGTGTCAAAATAAATTCTTTTAGGAAGGCAGATACGACTGTTAATGGAGACAAAACCTAATAAACCCCGCCTACGTGGTTACCAGAGGATCAGTTGTCTTGAGTCTGTTGTAACTGGGCCAATTTCTCTGTTTCAGGTTTGGACCCCCAACATACAGACAGTTTAGTAGTGGCAGCACCTATCCCAACATTCCCCTTTCTTCTCCCTTACCTGGAATACCCAAGCCTGTTTTTGCCACAGTCGATGGACAGGAGAAGTTTGAAACCAAAGTTACCACACTGGATAATGGGCTACGTGTGGCCTCTCAAAATAAATTTGGACAGTTCTGTACAGTAGGAAGTAAGTACTGTTGGTGGTAATGTTGCAGGTGGTCTTGTTTTAGCATGTGTGCTTTATTGACTGTCATTTTAGTGTGTCAGTTGTGAAATGTACTCTGAGTGGAAACATGATGGAAAATCTGAAAAGTTAGTAACCAAAATATGAACAGTGGCCATTTTTGGTAATGACATTTATGGTGGGTTCCCCCCTCCTGTTTTTTTTTTTGAGACAGAGCCTCAAGCTATCCCTCTGGGTAGAGTGCTGTGGCATCACAGCTCACAGCAACCTCCAACTTTTGGGCTCAAGCGGGTCTCTTGCCTCCGCCTCCCAAGTAGCTGGGACCACAGGCTCTAGCCACAACGCCCGCCTATTTTTCTTTCTTTCTTTTTTTTTTTTGGTTGCAGCCATCATTGCTGTTTTGGTGGTCCAGGGATGGATTCGAACCTGCCACCTTAGGGGTATGTGACTGACACTTTAGCCACTTGAGCCACAGGCTCCGAGCCTCTCCCCTCCCTTTTTTAACCTTTTTGCAGTCCTAAAAGTTTTCTATCAAAAATGTAAATTGTATGATTTTGTAAGCATTGACATACACGTATATCCATGAAATGGTCTTACAACGAAGATGAATTTATCCATTTTATGTCTTTAAGTTGTATTCACAATTTTGACTAGTCTTGACTAAATCTTCTATTTTCAACATCTACTTTCACCTAATTTTCTTTATATTACCAGTTCTTATTAATTCAGGATCGAGATATGAAGCTAAATATCCTAGTGGAATCGCCCACTTTTTGGAAAAATTGGCATTTTCGGTCAGTATCCAATTTGTAATTTTTGAGACTGTATTTGAGAAGGATCTTTTAAGTTTGTTTTTAGGATGGCTATTTTAATAAATGATAAATTTTCAAAGTTAATGTTAATAAAAGGCTTTAAGTTATAAGATAATTTGTGTGTTTGGAAATATAAACTTTCCTATGTTTTAGGTGTTATTTGCTTATTTAGGTTTTTTTGTTTATTTTTATTAGTCTACTACACGATTTGACAGCAAGGATGACATTCTGCTTACCTTGGAAAAGCATGGGGGTATTTGTGATTGCCAGACATCAAGGTATACCAGCTTTTATGTACAAACGTACTTTGTGTCCTTGTGAAAATAACGTTTTTGTCCTTGGACAAGATCCTACTGAGTCCCTCCCATCAGAGGACCTGTGGAACTTCACAGTGAGAAACGAGCCCTGGCCTGGGTGGAGAATGGGTGGGCAACACGTGCACAGAGAAACACAGTGTCTGGGAACCCACTTGCCCTGTCAGTTCAGCCAGGCCGATTGACCCATGCTGGGAATGTGGAGCAGGCTCTGTTCCTGAGGCACTGACTGGTAGGGCAGAGGGCCGTGCAAACGTAATAGACTAAACAGCCAAAGGCAGTGGGAACCAGGTGAAGAAGCCAATGAATTGGTCTGGAGCTAGGAAAAGAATCACAGGAAACATGGCATTGGGGCTGGTTCCTAAGGAGTTGGCTAGATAGGTGAGGCAGGAGCCATTTGAGACCAGGGAACAACAGGTTCCAAAGCTTAGTGCTGGAAGTGGCAGGGTCTGCTTGGGGAAGGAGAGGGGGCAGTATTTTCAGGAACACAGGCAGGGTGGGCAATAGAGGGTTGGTCTTTGTGTGGCAGGTGTGGAGAACTCTGAGAAGCCTTGTATAGTTTATGAGATGGGTGGACACAGATCATAGGTGTTTTAAAAGGTTGGTTATTTAAACATGAATGCTAGACTTGGTGCCTGTAGCACAGTGGTTAGGGCACCAGCCACATACACCAAGGCTGGCAGGTTCGAACTCAGCCTGGGCCAGCTAAAATGATGACAACTACAACAAAAAAATAGCCAGGCATTGTGGCGGGCACCTGTAGTCCCAGCTACTTGGGAGGCCGAGGCGAAAGGAACGCTCAGCCCAAGAGTTGCAGGTTGCTGTGAGCTGTGATGCCATGGTACTCTACCGAGGGTGACAAAGTGATGCTGTCTAAAAAAAAAAAAAAAAAGAATACTAAAAACTTATACGTAAAAGACATGTTAAATGCCAAGAATTAGGGTTAGCATGGAGGTAATATATTCACGTTTTAAAACAAGCTCTCTTAAAAAATCTCTGGCTCCTGTCATCTGTGTGTGATGTCCAGTCTCATTGCCCGGTGTGTCCAGTCCTCCCTACCTTGCCTCAGACCTCATTTCTCCTCCTGCTGCCACATGAAGTCCGTTCTCTGGTCAGGCAGGCTAGAGTTCTGACTCAGATGCAGCTCAGGCTGGTGTTCTGCCATCCTCCTGATGTGGACTGCAGTCAGTGAGGACGGCTCCTCTCCAGGGTGCAGGTCCAGCCTAGTCCCCTTTGCAGAGGCACTGTGACTGTGTCCCATCTGATGGGCTCTTTCCAAAGTGACAGTTTGGTCTATTCTATGTGGTCTGTTTGATTACACATGATCTCAGATAGTTCTGTGAATGTTCTGTGGCTGTTCCTTCCCTGCCCAACTCTGTGCTGACCTGGTTCTTCATGCCAGGAGTTAATGTTACAGCCATACCACAAACTCCATAAGAGCCTTGTTATATGTTCCCCACACCATCTAAGGCCAGGAACATTTGCAGTCTGTTCTTATTTATTTGTTTATTTTGAGACAGTATCACTATGCCACCCTTGGTAGAGTGCTATGGCATCACACCTCACAGCAACCTCAAACTCTTGGGACTTAAGCAATTCTCTTGCCTCAGACTCCTGAGTTAGCTGGGACTATAGGTGCTTGCTACAATGCCTGGCTATGGTTTTTTTTTTTTTTTGAGACAGAGTCTCAAGCTGTTGCCCTGGGTAGAGTGTCCTGGTCTCACTGCTCACAGCAACCTCAAACTCTTGGGCTTAAGTGATCCTCTTGCCTTAGCCTCCCAAGTAGCTGGGACTACAGGCACCCACCGCAATGCCCGGCTAATTTTTGGTTATAGTTGTCATGGTTGTTTGGCAGGCCTGGGCTGGATTTGAACCTGCCAGCTCTGGTGTTTGTGGCTGGTGCCTTAGGCACTTGAGCTGCTACAGGTGCTGAGCCAACGCCCTGTTATTTTTTGATTGGACTTGTTGTTTAGCAGGCCCAGGCCGGGCTTGAACCCGCCAGCCTTGGTATATGTGGCCGATACCCTACTCACTGAGCTACTGGAGCCCCTGTTCTTTTTTTTTTTTCCCTTCCAGACAGGATCTTTCTCTGTTGCCCAGGCTAGAATGCCATGGTGTCATAGCTCACAGCACCATCAAACTCCTCCTTGGCATCTGGAGCTATAGTCCTATCCCACTTAGCTCTTCTATTTTTAGTAGAGATGGGATCTTGCTCTTGCTCAGGCTGATCTCAAACTCCTGGCCTCAAGTGATCCTCTCAGTTTGGCCTCCCAAAGTGCTGGGATTACAGGGATGCTGCTGTGCTCAGTCTCTAGTCTTTTTATTTAGCATACATTTTGCACAGATAAAACACCTTTTGAAAGAACCTATGGTTGGCTTGGCGCCTATGGCTCAAGTGGCTAAGGCGCCAGACACATACACCTAAGGTGGCAGGTTCGAATCCAGCCCGGGCTGCCAAACAGTGATGGCTGCAACCAAAAAAGCCAGATGTGGCGGGTGCCTGTGGTCCCAGCTACTTGGGAGGCGGAGGCAGGAGACTCGCTTGAGCCCAGGAGTTGGAGGTTGCTGTGAGCTGTGATGCCACGGCACTCTACTCAGGGGGAGAGCTTGAGGCTCTGTCTCAAAAAAAAAAAAAAGAACCTATGGTTATAAAAATCTCTTGGCATTGGCTCCAATCTCACTCACCAGTTTCTTTTACTTAAGTACTTAATCTGTGTGTAGCTCGGGGGCTCCTGCCTGCTAAGAATTGATAGCATGAGAGAAGAAAGGAGGGAAAACTGTGTATTAGCCCCCTGACATAAAGCGGGAAGTCCCTACCAGCACACAGCGTATGAGCATCCCCTAGCTGCCCTGTCAGTGTTGGCT